TGCCAAAGATTGGTGAATGTGACATGGAAAATATCTTCCTATTGGGACAAAGTCAGACTTATCCGAAGATGTTCCAATTCATAGCAGAGTTTTCTAATTTAAACACTTTTAGGAGGAAGAAGACTTTGAGGGCCTAATTTTAGACTGTTTAAAGAGGAAATCACAGTCTGACCACTGTGATCCTTGGGTCTGTCACCATCCCCTGGCTGGTAATGGCCTTACTTTCAGCATAGGTGAGGAGCAGCCACGCTTGACAGCACAAAGGCAAACAGGAGGGCAATGAAGAGGCAGGAGGAGCTGGGGAGGGAAGTGTTCCAGCCCTGGGGCAGTTCAGCACATGCTGAGTGCTGCAATTTGCTCAAACACCTACACAGAACTTTTCAGCACAAAAAAACAAGGGCAGGAGTTTGCATGTCTGAATAAAACAGCATCCCCGGGCCAGATTCTCAGCAGGTCCCAGCTGCCGTGGCTGGCGAGAGCTTGGTGGGCATATGTCAGTCCTAAACACCAAGGCTCAGGGCTGAACGTGCAGAACCAGGGCCTGGGACAGGTCACATGGGGTGAAGGACCAAGAACAGCAGATGGACATTAAGACCTTGGGTTTGTCCTTCACTTCTGAACATGAGGAGCCTGAACCTGGCTGAAGCTGAACCAGCGCACAGAGGCACAGAGGCACTTCATGATCCTTTTTGTGTGGACTGGGTGTAATTCTTCAGATTTTACTGGGAACTTCAATTTTAAAGCTGGGCACTCCTGGACCATCATTTGACCAAACAACTATCCCATGGCATGGCCATTCTGTAGCACTGTAGCCAAGGAGAGGTTTGGACATACACATACTACTAAATTCACTTTGTTGCCTCTGCTTGTTTTGGCCGGGATAGAGTTAATTCCAAAGCTGGGTGGTCCTGTACAAGTTGCATGTTGAGAATAGTCCCCAGCATGTGCAAACTCCTGCAGCTCTAACTGGCAGGGTGCTGACTGGTACAAGCCAAGCCATGCTGGGGCCATGCTTTTGAAACAACCCAGCCAAAACCCACTGGTAGCTGGGAGGAGGGTTGCACAGTGTGAGGGATGGAGCTTCACACCCCACCTCATTGCATGTCATTCAGTAAGGGCATGGGCTGCTCTACTGCTTTCCTGGATCAAAATCTTCTTGTACAACAGCTTTTGCCTTTCCACTGGACAGACTACTCCTACGTACCCTAAACTGACTTCTCTTGAGGGACTGTGAGAAGTGGGGGAGGATCTATCCTGCAGCAGGAAGAAGCTGATTTCACCCGTTATGACTACTGGATCATTTTTGAATCACAGATTGGTTTGTGTTGGAAGGGACCTTAAAGAGCAACTATTCCCAACGGTTCCCTGCCATGGGCAGGGACACCTCCCACTAGACCAGGTTATTCCCAGCCCCATCCAACCTGTGAACACTTCCAGGGATGGGGCAGCCACAGCTGCTCTGGACAACCTGGGCCAGTGTCTCACCACCCTCACAGCAAAGAATTTCTTCCTAATAGCTTGTCTGTCAGAGGCCTGGAGCACCTCTGTTATGAGGACAGGCTGAGACAGTTGGGTTTGTTCAGTCTGAAGAAGAGATGGCTGCAGGGGGACCTCATAGAGACCTTCCAGTACCTGAATGGGCTACAGGAAAGCTGGGGAGGGTCTTTTTACAGGGGCTTGCAGTGAGAGGACAAGGGCTAATGGTTTTAAATTGAAAGAAGAGAGATTTAGGTTAGAGATCAGGTGTAAATTCTTCAGTGTAAGGGTGGTGAGACACTAGAACAGGCTGCCCAGGGATGTTGTGGGGGCTCCATCCCTGGAGGTGCTCAAGGCCAGGTTGGATGGGGCTCTGAGCAGCCTGTTCTAGTGGGAGGTGTCCCTGCCCATGCAGGGGAGTTGGAACTTGATGATCTTTAAGGTCTCTTCCAACTCAAAAAATTCTGTGATTCTGTGATTCTGTGATCTAAATCACCCCTCTTTCAGTTTGAAACCATTCCCTCTCATGCTATAACTCCATGCCCTTGTCAAAAGTTCCTCCCCAGCTTTCCTGTAGCTCCTTCAGGTCCTGGAAGATGCTCTAAGGTCTCCCTGGACCCGTTTCTTCACCCACACTGAACAACCTCAACTGCCTCAGCCCATCTCTATAACAAAGGAAGTTGCCACAGCTCCATGTCCTTATGTTGGAGGTCTCAGAGCTGAACACAGTACTTTCATCTCCAGAAAGCTGCCTGAGATAATCTGTGCTTGTTTGGGGCTGTGTGGTGCTCCCAGGTCTCTGTTCCCCTACATTGAATCAGAGCAGAAAGATCAATTTCCCACTTAGAGTTACCTTACCCAAGGTTTGGGGTGCTGTCCCCTGCCTGGCTGCCTGGAGCAAGGTGTTGTCTGAGGGATGCCCCCTTTTCTGGCCTCTGCTTCTCTCTTAAAGAAATACATAGATTTAGATATAACTATAGGAGGGTTGGAACTAGGGGATCTTTAAGATACGTTCCAACCCAAACCATTCTATAACCTCTTAATCTTTCTAATTTGCTTTATTATCACAATGTGGGGATAAGGAAGGAAAAATTCTGGCTGTGTTGGGCTGTGTGGAATCTTGTTCCTTTATTTGAAAAGAAACTGGGTTTCACCCTTGAAATGTAATGTGAAATGCATTTTTCTGTTCCAGCATCCTGTGATGTGATGGCCTCACTGTGTTCTCACTGTTTGTTGGCAGCTCTTGCCCAACAACAGTGACTCCAACATCACAGTTTAACTGTGTGGTCAGTCAAATACACACTCTCTCTTTTGGGGAAATTGTTCTAAATTATATGAGTCATGTCCAGAACCAGCAAAGACTGGTATAATTGAGAGGCAGGAAAATAGAAAGTGAGGAACAATTAGGGTTTGCTTTGCCCTTTTTCTTCTTTGATTTAAACTTTTAGTTTTTGACAGATGGTGGTTTACATACCACACCCCAGACTAAAGGGTAGAATCAGACTCCGAGACAATTGATACTTCCACCATGGGCAGAAACTGAAAGAACAAACCAATTCTTTTAAAATCTGGGGCTCTGAGAGGGAAAATCTCCTTCTTACTGTCTTCAGGCATCTTGATATGTGGGGTTTACATCAAGGGCACTTTGAATTTAAGACTGCTTCACAGTTGCAAGCATGGACTCAGATTCAGGTCTCAGATCTGGAGCCGAGACTCTTCAGAGCACACAGTGATTTTAGGAGGTCAGCTCAAAGCTCTTCCTAATAGTTCTGGGGTCCTGAAAACACTGTACCTGCCTCATGAAAGCCACGGGCCTGAGAAACATCTCAACCACCAAAACGTAACTTCTCTAGGGATCAGTCTAGCTGGGGCAATACAGCAAGAACAACAACGTGTTGAAAATAAAGATTATCGGAAGCAAATAATTTGCAGAGAAAAGTTTAGCACCTATTTGTTGTTTTGCATCAGAAGTTTTCCCCAAAAGCTTCCAGTGTTTATCAAAAGCAGATTATTTGCACAGCAACATTTTCACAAGTGCATCTGAACTGTAATTTCTGTCCCAGCCCCCTGGGACCCTCTTGCAAATGTTTCTGCTGTCGATACAGTTGCAGATGCTGGTGGGACTCACTGGCAAACTTCCCATTAGGCAACAGAAACAAGGCCACATGAGGGGAGTAGTTTCCAGCCATGTGGGCCAAAGAATAAAGGTTTTTCATTCCACTGAGGAGAAGGGAAGGACCACTGCAAGTGTGGTCTTGGTATCTGCTTGCTTCTACATTTTTGAAGAGCACTGGGGACCATTCTCCAGCCTTGAACACGGCTGCCCTGGTGCAGTCATGTCCATCCTGTTGGCCTCCTGTGGCCTCCAAAAAGGTGTATTTCATCCACACTTCCTCTTGGGAATTATCCCCAGGCTGTGCTAACTCCTGAGCTGGGGTGGAAGCTGCTTAGGTCAGTACTAGTTTACCCAGGCCAAATTTGTGCCAAAGAACATAATAACAGCACAACACATGAAAGATGAGCTGCCAGTGCCCACGCTCTGTGTATTTTCTTAGCATAAGAGTAGTATTTTTGTCTTGTCTTCCTCTCTGTGAAACTACCAGCTCGTAACTGCCAAAAATAAACGTATGTGCAAGACAGGGCTGAAGGCTGGGATGGGAGGAGGACAGAAATGCTTCTAACAAGGCAGGAGCCAACAGATGCTAAACCTGCAAGAGCTGCATGAGGAGGGGTCTGAGACAAGGTCCTGACATCACACACACAGCAGAAAAGGGAGCATGGTTCATTAGAGATTTCACAGCCAGAACAAGGGGTTTCCACAACGATTTGAAACAGAAGGAAGCACTTGGCCTCACCCTGCAGAAATTACCTGAGGGAAGCAGGTTACCACGAGACCATACAGAGACTCAGGAGTTAAGCATTAAAAAATTGAAAAAAAGAGAATTAAGAGAAACACAAACACAAGTGGTCAGCATAGAACCTCCTGCTGGGGGAGATCTGAAACCACCAACAGCCACAAGCTGCAAGGGCAGATCCAGGGGATGGGTCTAATCACTCTTCCTTCCCACAGCCCTGACGAAGCATCCCTTTGTGATGCCATCTGAGAAGGGCAACTGCACCAGCAGTGCCCACGTTTTCATGGTGTGCTCATGCCTGCTGTGTTCACCTGAGTGCTGAATTATAATTAGAGAAGCGGGGTGGGGAGGGGGGGGGGGGGGAAGCGGGGTGGGGAGGGGGGGGGTGGGGAGAAACTGTTAAAAGTCCTAGTCAGTGCAAGATACCTTATATCCCCTGATCTGTTGGATTCTAGCAGGGGATGGTCGCAGTTCCTTCCCTGAGGCTATGGGTACTCTGACATTTGCCTTTTCCCTTCCCTGGGTTGCTCCTGATTCCACCAGATACAAAAAATGCCAGGATTGATTCTTGCCTTTCCACCTGGGGCTGCAAGCTTGTTTCCTTGTTCTTTTCCCCCTTACGCCCCTTGAAAAAAGAGTGACACCTAACAGGGAGAGCAAACCACTTACCAGTTCCTTCCTGAGCCACGTCAAAGCTTCATCAATGCTCTCAAAGCCACTTATTCTCCCTGAGGTAAGAGTCACCTTGTCCTGGACAGAGCTTCCATTGAGATGCAGCTGCACCTTCCTCAAGGGAACAGTCTCCCCAGTGGTCTTTTTGTCCTCGATCACTTCCTCCACTCCTGCAGGCTGAGGGCTCTTCCATGCCTGCTCCTCCAGCTTTGCCTTCCACTCCAAGTAGGATGGACGCCTGGTCTCCAGTCTCAGCTTCTCTGTCAATGCCTTGAGGCTCCTCAGGTGGTCATCAGGAGGAGCAGCACCTCCAGAGCTGCCATCCAGGCTGTCCAGTGCCTCTTCTATTTGGATTTTGGGTAGAGACATCTCTTCTGGAAGTCAAACAGCATAGAGGTGTGCTGCACAGGACCAGGGGTGGAGGTGGGAAACCCTCAGGGCGGGACCAGCTCCCGTGGTGCAACAAACACAGCCCCTCCGAGGAGAGCTGCAGTGGTGGTGGCTCTTGCTCCAGCACTGCACTGGCCCTGGACGAATGCCTGGAAGAAAAGCAGAGGGTTGGATTCCAGTTTGTGAGGGAAAAGGGAGGGAGAAGGGAGAGATGGCTCTTGCTGCAGCGGAGGGAGGGAGAGGCACAGTGCCAAGGTGCTCCTGGGGAGCGTTACCTCACCTCAGCCATCTGACTGCTTTTGGGGCAGGAACAGGCAGGTTCTGACTTTTAGGGAGGCTCTGGTTACCTGCATCTCCAGTCGTAACTCAAGGGGCCATGAAAGGGTTGCCAAGGAGTCTGGGAGAGGTTCACAGCCCCTCTGGAACTGTATCACACAGCCCTGGGGGTCGAAGTGTTTATGTGTGTTTTGGTTGCTGATTTCCTGGCTGGTAATCTTACATCTTTCCACTTGGGCAAAGCAGGGTTGGGTGAGATAAGACAACCCAAAAAATACCCAGAAGCATGGTCCCTGGCCAAGCGTGGGAGCAGCTGGCATGAGGGCACAGTTTGGGTTCAGATGTCACCACTCAGAGAGACTTGGCATTGTGGTTTCCATCACTGGCCATGTCCAGTCTGCCTATTAGGAAGAGAGACCCAGTCATCCCCCTGAAAACACATTGGTGAAGGGCTAGCACAGAGGAGCCAGGAGCTTCCTCCCAGCTCCTCCTCCTGCCACTTCATGTAGACTCAGATAAAGTCTACCCCTGGCTGGTTTTACCAAAACTTGGGACACAGGACTCAAACAACTCTGCAAGAGTTAAGCTCAGGCAGCTTCTGCATGCATTTTCTGGTAGGATCAGATAAGAGACTTTCTCAAGGTCATATGCTCATCTATGACTGAGCCAGGAATAGATCCAGAGCTCTCATCTACACGTTGAACAGAAAACAAAATACTTTTTTTGCCTGCCTGGTAACAAGCCCAGAAAGACCAGACAGGACCTTTGCAGCTTTCTAGCTGGATGCACTAAACCATGGTGATATGAGCTACTGAGCCATTCTTTTCCCTGCTATTTGTGCCCACAAAGATGTGTGTAACTCTGAAATCCAGGCCATAATTATGCCTCTCCAATTTTTTCAGGAGGAGGATTCAATTCAAAATAAACACCAACACAGAGCAAGATTTATCCCACAATTGTGTGCAGGCACATGGGCTGAAGGAGGAGTCAATAATGTACACACAGACAGTCTGGGGGTGGAGAATTAGTCATGTTGTGGTCTTGTTCCTGCTCCTATTTATGTTAATGAGAGTTTTATGGTGAGCGGGAGCAAACACAGATACTAGATCAGGTTGAAGCCAACAGTTCTCATGCCTGGAGCAGCAACAATTTTCCATCTTCTGTGGAAAATTAAATCATAGGGAGGGGAAAGCAGAGGGCTGCCTTGTCAGAGGGTCAGGTCCTGCACCAGCTCTTGTAGGGATGCTCTGCAGAGCTGAGGGCATGTTGATGAGTTTCACTTGCCTCCAGCTCTAGCCTGCCAAAATCAATAAACACCTAAAGACTGTAAAGATCTCTCCTGTGAATTTTTTCCTGTCCATTGAGATGGAGATTGCTAGGGGTGGCCAAAGGCAGCAGCCCAATGGAGTCTGTTGCAACTCCACACTGGATTTAGAATCATCGAATCACAGGATGGTTTGGGTGGGAAGGGACCTTTAAAGGTCATGCAGTCCAAACCTCCTGCAGTTAGCAGGGACATCTTCAACTACATCAGGTTGCTCAGGGCCCTGTCCAACCTGACCTGGAATGTTTCCAGGGATGGGGCATCCAGAGCTTCTCTGGGCAACCTGTGCCAGTGTTTCATCACCCTCAGTGTAAACGATTTCTTCCTTAGATCTAGTCTAAATCTACCCTCTTTTAGTTTAAAACTTGGTAACCCCTAAGAGAGATAATATTTTTATTGTTAAGCTAACTTTTCTGAATGCCACAGCTACAAAGCAGAGCCCCCACAAACTCCTTTGTCTTTTGTCTTCAGCACCTACAAAATCCTCAGGATGGAAAACACCCTTGCTCTGTGAGCCTTGGGTGTAAATACTCAGTTAGCATTGACAGCATCAGGCCATGAAAGCATAACAGCAGTTTGGAGCATCCCCTTCGCTCTCTCTCCCTCCGTCACCACCTCCCAGAAGCTGTGGAGGGATTTTATTTTCCTCCCCTAAAAGCAGCTTCAATCCAACCCATCCTTCACCTCCTCCCAGGTGCAACATGAAACTTCTCCTTCAGTCTATGGGGACACCCCTAAACAGGCAGGTTTGTTGCCCAGCCTGACCAAGTTAAAAAAAGAACAGAAAGGAGCAGCCTCTAATTTCCTATCAATACCTTGGACCTGGGTCAAATACCTGCTGTAGAAAAGGAGAACTGAAAGAGGTAAGCGTGAGAAAAATGTCTGTGTGTGAGGCTGTAATACAAACCTGTTTGCTGCCTGAGAGCTACACAATTCCCAGGAACAATCCTGGCCTCTGGCTCAAATCCCCAAGTCTCTCAGGCTCAGTTTCCCCCTAGGCCAGCCCATGTGTGGGAATTTAATTGATTAACCCTTGACTTGTTCTCATTATCACACTTGCCTGGCTCTAGGCATTGCCTAGTTAGGGGTAACAGGTGCTAAAATGAGGTGAGGGTCTGCTCACTGAGACCCTTTGCTCAGGGGTTTCCACCTTCTCTTACATGAATTCTATCAGTCCTGAAGGCACAAGGACACATCAGGTCACCGAGACACCAAAAACCCCTTAAATTTATTTGTTGGGTTAAATTTCCCTCAGAGAAGTCAGCTTACCTGACCTACCCTGTGAGCTGTAGTGCAAAGGGATTGGCAGAAGCACATGAGCAGGATGGAAATTACAGGACTCTCAAGCTGGGTGGGGTGTCAAGTCCTACCATGCCAAGACTCAGGGAGCTGGCATACCCTGAGGCTTGGCTTTTGCATGGCTGCAGGCCAGCAATGCAAATCCTGCTCTCTCCCACACCAGATACACTTGGTGAAGCTCAAGGGGTGTCCTATGTTGTGAGAAACCAGGTCCAGTGGCACAATGTACCACCACAACTTGCCACAGTGGCCATTCCTCCCAGCCTGAAGCAGATGCAGAAGACTGTCCCCATCACACACCCTCAGACATCCCTACCTGATGTGACCAGGACACCCATATGAACATCCCCTGACAGACCAGGTGGGATGAGGCAAGTACTAGAAGGCACAGGGATGTCTACATAGGTGTGAGCAAAGCTTTGCTTTCCCATCATGGAGGGTGGATAACAATAAATTCAGATGCTGTTCACTGTCAAAAGGGAGGTTGCACAAAGTGATTCTAGGCACAGCTGTTTACTCTGTGTGATTTTTAACATGCCTGAGAAGTTTTGTAGGTCTGTACCTTCCCCATCTCTCTCTGTGCCCTGGTCAGCTTTGAACATGAGGCGTTCATGGAGCAGTGCTGGTTTGTACGTGCCAGACCAGAGCAGCACAGATATGGCCTGGAAAATTAAGGGCTGTAAATAAGGACACAGGGTGTTTTGGAAGGTCACACTCTGGGAGTGAGAGGTCTAGGAGAAGAGAAAAAAGGGGGAAAAAAAAAAAAAAAAGAGACAAATAGGAAGGAAAAGAGAGGGGAAAAGCAGAATAAACAGAACAGGCAGGACAGAGGTGTGGGGAACAAATAATTCTGCTCCCTTCACTATTCCTGGTGGACTTCAGCTTGCTCTAACACCATTTGTTATTGCAGACGAGCAGCAGTGACTGCAAGAGCCTGCATTACTCTGCTTTTCTAGCCTCTGAGAAGAAAAAGCAGCCTCAGCTTGAGACAGAGGGTGTTTTGGAAGGTCACACTCTGGGAGGGGGAGGTCTAGGAGAAAAAAAAAAGGGAAAAAAAAAAAAAAAAAAGACAAATAGGAAGGAAAAGAGAGGGGAAAAGCAGAATAAACAGAACAGGCAGGACAGAGGTGTGGGGAACAAATAATTCTGCTCCCTTCACTATTCCTGGTGGACTTCAGCTTGCTCTAACACCATTTGTTATTGCAGACGAGCAGCAGTGACTGCAAGAGCCTGCATTACTCTGCTTTTCTAGCCTCTGAGAAGAAAAAGCAGCCTCAGCTTGAGACAGAGCCCAGGCTGAGGGAAGTCACTTTGGAGGATGAAGAGGCACCCACATGGCACTTCTGGCATGGGTGAGACAGGGCAGAGGTTCAGCTGTTAATAAATTTCAAAAAGCACTTCAGCTCCTTTTATACCTCAGTTTCTCTCTCCTTGAGTAAGCAGTTCAGGCAACTGGTCTTCAGGAAAAAAACTCTGAGGATCTTCAAGGATGTACAGAGATTCTCCTGTGGTATGTTTGGGTCTCTCCATCTCATCAGGGTCCCCATGCTCTGGCTATAATTGGTGCAGGGATACCCTGGAGGGCCACAGATGTGATTTCCCTGACTGTTTGCAGGGATTTGCTCCAAAGGCTTGCACAGGTCACCATGTGGGCCATTTAGAGACCTCTTGAACCTACAGAAGAAAACCCTGGAGTAAATCACGACGCCTAACACTGTCATCAGGTTCTACAGGTTCCAGTGGGTGGGGAGGACCCTGAGCCTGAAACATCAAGATGAAGAAACACTGAGGTGGAACAAGAGATGTGGGGAGTGTGCAGGGAGAGCTGTGTTTGCTCTCCTTTTCAGCACAGCAGAAAGGTGGGGATGGGGTGGGGCTGGTTGACCACCCCGGAGGTCTTCAGCAGGTTGGCAGCAGGGCAGCAAGGAGGAGATACCTGTGCAAGGGGGTTGCCATAGCAATGGAGTAAGGGAGGCTGCTGCATGGTGGTGGTTGGAGGCTTCTGAGCATCCTCCAGGCAATGGAAATGTCGAGGCCTCGGGTGAGGGAAGGAGGGATTTGCATTGAAGATCTGCATGGA